TTTCGGTCTAGGGGCTTATATTAGGGTAGACCCGTCACAGCGCCGCCCGAGTGTGGAGGAAAAGGTAGTTTTATCTACGTTTCGGATGTCCATCATCACTCTGTGTATGCCCCATTATTTCTCGCCAGTGCCCGGCTTAAATTGGGGCCCAGGGGGGGGGGGGGGAGGAATGCAAAGCCAAAAGCAAAAAAGGAGCCGAGAAACAAATAGGGAATCATGCCTAATGGGGAACTGGGGCAACACCATCTGATATTGTATGTAACCAGTGGTGGTGGAGGTTCCCCTTTTCTCCTGGTCAGAAGAAAGGAGCAAGAAGCCAGTTCTCTCAATGTAGCCAGTAGACCATCCGCTTTTTAAAGCGCCTGCGATACGAGTAGTTGAGCAAATGTAGGACACACCCCCACGCGACACATGAAATATCTCGCTCATTTCATCCCAGTTGTATGTAGTCCATGCTTTGCTTGTTTCGCCTACGCCTCTGCGGGGATCGATGATTGAAGCAAAAAGCTGGCTGAGACCCACTCAAGATAAAAGAAGTCGGGAGAGGAATTTGCTGAGAATCATGATTACCAAGTGAAATTCCTACGTAAATGATTTAGATACAATCAATATGTATGTATGTATGTATGTATGTATGTTCATGTCCACGCACTGCACATGAACATGCATATGCAAAATGGTGTTTCGAAATTATCACCGTCACGAAGAGCGTTTGCTGTGTTCATATCTCCACTGGTTGGAGATGATAAAAACCATGCTCAGGAGTGCCATGTTTGTCCATTGCATGGAACATATATCCGTGGGAATGGTGCTTTTGGAAAAGTACAGAGTAGTCCATTGCCAATTCCTTTGTCAGGGAGAAGATAACTCAGTTTGCAAATACGAAAGAATCCTCCACTTAAACCCCAGAAGAAAAAACTAAAGCCAAAGAGAGAGGGGAAAGCAATAGATACTTCGGAAGAATTAAGGGATTATTCCACGCTGCTCACCAGCAACAACCTGAAGCAATCGAACACAACGTCCAATCAGAAGCGGGAACACTGTTCTTGAATGGATGGTGAAAGGGGCCCAGAACATGTCCGCATCGCCCGCCGCACCCAGCAGGCGGCGCTGCCAGGCGCGCGCGAGAGCTGAAGCGGCAAATCAAGCCAACTCGTCATTTTGGATGTAGTTGTGTGAGGAAGAGAAGAGAAGAGAAAAGGATAAAAGAGAAAGGAGAAGGTGACGAGGAGAAAAGCGGCGGGCGGTGAGAAAAAACACGTGACGTGAATCGCGGATAAACTATGTTCCTCGGGCCAGCCTATCTGCGGCATTACATAATCAAGCCTATCGGACTAATCACTCCGCCATCAGCCTCGGGAAGACGCAACGTCTGCAGCGCTTATCCCATTCATTGTTGTTTTCTCATTGCATTGTGCTCGTGCGCCTGGTTGAGCAGCTGCCCACTTTCTTCAATTGCGGCATTTGGTCGGTCCCGGCAACAATGTCGCTCAATATTTGCTCCAGACGGGCCAGCATCCGACTTCTTCTCTTGCGGGGGAGCTCCAGAACTCGTCTCGGCCGTGCGAATCATCCCGACGGATTGCTGCCAATCCTTTGCCGTGGCATCTCCTCTGCTCACTCTGATGGACATCAAAAGGTTTTATCGCCTTCTTTTTTTCTTTGGGGAATGGCCGTGTTATCGCCAATTGCCGCTTTTCTCGTCAAGAACATTGTGCTTATGCTCGTGGTCGCATATCTAGATCCTATCCGAGAACCTTAAAGAGGCCGACCCTGCCGTTTACAAAATTATCCAGCAAGTATGAATCTCTTTAACTCCAATCTCGTACAGCCCTTTCCGCTTACCCATATCTTCCATAGGAGAAAAGCCGCCAAAAACATTTTATCAATTTGATCCCATCCGAGAACTTCACGTCCCAGGCGGTTCTCGATGCCTTGGGAAGTGTCATGCAGAGTACGCCCTTCAATCCCTTTTCATGTTATATTACTAATAACCTAACTTGGCCTTCGCAGATAAATATTCAGAAGGCTACCCTGGAGCACGGTATTATGGTGGTAACCAGTTCATTGACCAGGCGGAGAGACTTTGTCAGCAGCGGGCTCTCAAGGCGTTCGGTCTCAAGGAAGAGGAATGGGGGGTCAACGTGCAACGTGAGTGTGCTTTCCACTCCCTTCAACTCCCCGCCACAAACAGTAATCTAACGCGCTGGATATAGCACTCTCTGGTTCTCCGGCGAACCTCTACGCATATTCCGCACTCCTTAATACCCATGACCGTATCATGGGCTTGGATCTTCCCCACGGCGGCCATCTTTCCCACGGATATCAAACCCCAACGAAGAAAATTTCCGCTGTGTCTAAATATTTCGAGACACTCCCATATAGGTTAGATGAATCAACCGGCCTCATCGACTATGACAAACTAGCAGACTTGGCCCAGCTCTATCGACCAAAGCTCATCATTGCCGGCACATCCGCATATAGCAGACTCATCGATTACCCGCGCATGCGCAAAATTGCTGATAGCGTCGGTGCTTACTTACTCTGTGATATGGCCCATATTTCCGGATTAGTTGCTGCTGGCGTTATACCCTCGCCATTTGTACACTCGGACGTCGTTACAACTACAACCCATAAATCCCTCCGAGGACCCCGTGGCGCCATGATTTTCTTCCGCAAGGGAGTCCGCCACACCGACGCCAAGGGCAACCCAGTGATGTATGACCTCGAGAACCCCATCAATGCGTCCGTTTTCCCCGGTCACCAGGGCGGGCCCCACAACCACACCATCAGCGCGCTCGCCGTAGCCCTGCAGCAGGCGACCACCCCAGAATTCAAAACATACCAAGAAACCGTTCTTGAGAACGCCAAAGCACTGGCGGACCGGCTTGGCAAGCCCACCAACAGTGGCGGGCTGGGCTACAACATCGTTTCCGGCGGCACAGACAACCATCTTGTGCTCGTCGATCTGAAGAACCGCGGCGTGGACGGGGCGCGTGTGGAGCGGGTGCTTGAACTGTGCGGCGTGGCGAGCAACAAAAACACCGTGCCCGGTGATAAGTCTGCGATGAAACCCGGCGGCCTACGAATCGGGACACCGGCGATGACATCGCGTGGCTTCGGGCCAGAGGACTTTGTGCGAGTTGCGGACATCGTCGACCGTGCGGTGACGATTACGCAGAAACTGGATAAGACCGCCAAAGCGGATGCGGAGGCAAAGAAGAAGAAGAACCCTGGCAGCGTGAAAGCGTTCCTGGAGTATCTGGGCGAAGGACAGGCGATCCCTGAGATCACGACATTGAGACAGGAGGTTGAGGATTGGGTAGGGACATTCAGTACGCTTGGGCGGATGAAGAGAGCTAATGTGAGTGCCCATGAAT